TCGTCGGTCCCCTGGGCCCACCAGGCGCGCCCGCCCAATTCCATGTCGGGCCATCTTCGCCCTGGGCGCGCCCGCCTGGCGGCTCGGCAGGCGAGGCAAGCGCGAGCGGCCGCTCCTCCTGATCCCCTTCTTCTTCGAACTTCTCGCCCGCCGCCCGGGTCGCCGCTGGAGGGGGCGCAGGAGGCTCGGCCCTGGAACTACTCACGATCTGCCCCGTCGCATTCAACTCGCACTGACGGGGAATACTTCGACCCCTGTCCACGCTCGCCTCGGCGGGATCTATATCCCGACGCTCGCAGTGCCAGTCCTGGCTGTGAACCTTGAGAATGCGATCATCGCCCACGTCCTCCCAAGCCGCGTCCGCATCCTAGACTTCGGCATCGTTCAATGGGCAGCAGTCCTCTGCGGACGCGGCCGCCCTTCCGCCGACGCCCTCGCCATGGCAAGGATGCCAAGGCGTCCCACCATGATGCGGGCTGCGAAATAGACAGCCCGCTGGACAGTCACGGCGACGCCGACTGCGAGCCAGGCATGGACACATACGGTAGCACCTGCCGGATTGGACGACGTCTCGCTTCAATGCCCGCGCCATCACTCTCTGCACCGCGACGCCCTGATGTTCTGATGATGTAGCCCCTGTCGCCACGAGGAACATGATGCCCCAAAGAACACCAGTGACGAAAATGTGATTATGCGCAACCCTGTTCGAAGAGAAAGTTCACGCCGGCCCCATTGATCTCCATGCGCGGGCCTTGATCGCCATCAGAATGTATATATATATATATATAAATAAATACATATATATATATATATATATCACGCGCAGAGAACGATTACATGTCCAAAGACCGTCTCGCCAGGGCTCGCACCGCACGCGGTCTCCGCAGACCGAGCATAGCCTTTGCCCTTGGAAGGGCCAGCCCCACGCGAGCGGCTACGACCTCGACAAGGACCGCCCGCGCCCGGGCTATATCTGCCAGATTTCCTGGAACGCCTTCCGTCGCGTGGGCCGAAGAGCTGCGGCCACGGCGACTGCCTCCGCTGTTGCCTTTGCAATGACCACCCGAGCCAATGGGACCCTTTCCAAACTTACCGCACATCATGAGCGCGCTGGCACGACTCTGCCCCCATCCCACAACAGCCCGCTCGCCCTCCAGGAGTCCAAACACCGTTGCGGTCGGGAGCGGGCGGAGCCTCGCCTGCTCGTGTCAGAGCTGTTCCATTATTTCAACGTCGGCGGCAGGTGCAGCCCCCGCGCCAGACATGCAATCGTCGTCATCGTCGTCGTCTGACTCGCACTGCACGCGTCTGCGCCAACGCGCGCCGACCCAGTCACCGGCGGGCGTGCCACACAGCTCCTTCGATCTCGTCGCGCAGACACTTGGCGCAACGTTCCAGCGACATGACAGCGCCGGCGAAGTGGGCCATCAGAAACCAAGCAGAACTTGATTGGGAGCATCGGGTTTCGGGGAAATCAACGCACACGATAGCATCCGCTTCGGCTTGATTGATCCCGTTTCACACCTCCCCTGGAGCATTGCGATTGGAAGTGTTTATCGCTTCCGCGGGTATTGCATGTCATCCGTTTACCATCGTCTCTCATTGGATTGAGCCTACGTCCCTTGCACTTGCCCGCAGTACGCCTACGACCTCTACCCCTCGCTCTACCTTCTAGACATAGACCTTCAAAGTCGTAGTCGGCCAATCGAGCCAGAGAAGCGGCTATCCTTTGCCATGCCATCTGCGGGCGTTCGCGGCGGCCCTTGCTATTACCGCGAAAGACACGACGTACACCCCAGAGGGCGGTCGCGCCAGGCGGCGCATAGCTGGCCGCTGACGGCCAGCCCGCGTTTGAGCCAGAAGCCTGTTGGTTATTGTTGGCTTCGTGGCCTAGAGGGGTCGTGGACTAAGTGGGCTCAACCGTCAATCCAGATGCTATCCGGCATGGCTCCCGGGGTGTCGCTTTTTTCGGCGCGGTAGGTGCACGCGCTGCGTCCGCTGAAGATGCCCCCGACGTTTCCTGGGGAACGCTCAGCCAGGTGCCCACGGCTGCGCATTCGCTCCAGGAATTGGTCGCACTGTTGTTGGGCACGGGGCATCCGGTGATTTAGCCGTCGAAGAAGCTGCGCTGCTCGAGAGGTGCCAAGTCCCAAGGCACGAAAAAAAGATCAGAGTAATGATCTGGGCGTTGAATATGCTAAAGTCCGCTGAGTCTGCTTCCAGCCTGGCCATCTCAAACCGGGCCAGCACTCAATCGATGCGTTCGCCCCTCTCGATCCAGAAGTCGATGAGGGCTGTCCCCGAAGTGAGCTGTCCCTCGTCGTCTAGATGTTCCACTTGATGCTTAACAAGCACATAATGTATGAGACCCCATCGGCGCGTCTCCCCTACGAAGGTGACACCATGATTGATGATGGTGGACGGCACCCTCATGGCTGGTGTCCTAGCCAAACCCGCAGGGCCGCGCTGTAGGGCGGCGGCCTCTTCGGGTGGAGTCACGCTTCCGCTCGCGACGTTAAGCCATGCGAGTACTTCGCGGACAAAAGCCGCGGAAGAGTACGTTGCCTGCGGGGACCCAGAAGGGACCCCGAATGCGCATGTCTTCCAGTCCTCTTCGTAGCACGCATGCCACGGTAAGACCTAGGCACACCCAGGTGTGTCCAAATATAGCGGCCTTGACACAATGAATGGTCACGTTGTAGCTGTTGATGTCACGTTTCGTTTGTTTTGATATTGTCGCGCCGATAGGATTGCGACTGGGTGTCTGGTCTGACGTGGCCGTCATTTTGCGGATGGGTATCGGCACTTGAATTGTGCGTGGCGTGTGGCCACGCGGCGGGGAGATGGAGGTGTAGACATATATATATATATATACATATATATATACATACATACATACATGTGCACGTGCATGCATACATACATGCATATACATACATACGTACATACATGCATGCATGCATGCATACAGACAGACAGACAGACAGACAGACAGACATGCATACATATGTATACATACACAAAAATATGTGTCATACCAGTTGGTTGAAGAATATCGGGAGCGTAGTGGCTGAGAGCCGGCGCAGTCGGGTACTCCACTGTGCCGCGGTAGGTTGTTATGTACACAACACCTGATGCAAGAGCCAGCCACACAAAGATGTAGTCAGCTCCGCTACCAAGTGAAAAAGTAAGGGTTGAGGGTTTGACCATGAGGTAATAAGTCGAGAACCCTACTCTTAGGATTATGTCGGCGACGTATCGACGTATCCCATAACTCATCCATGGATGGCAAGCAAGTCGAGAGGCAAGGGCTATACCATGAGATGGAGAAGCGGATCATAGATAGACGTTGTCTTTTGTCTGATACGATAATCCAGATAGAGTCGCACTCAGTCGTTTAACTGGCTTATGGGAGCGCGCAGTCTTCAGCCAAGACAGCGGCGGATATAGCGTTCGCTATACAGCCCCACCTAAACCTCGTTTAAAGTGTCTGCTTCTTTGGACCCGCTTGGGGCTCGCTTGGGGCTGTCTGAGAGGCCCTTTTGGGCCGTTTTGGGGCCCTGGCGCTCATACATTCGCAGCACCGTCGGCTCGGCTCCCAATCACGCGGGCTATGGAAGCTCTGTCACGGCACAGCGTCTCGAATCAGAATATGCTGTTGTTTATTGACCCCCGGCGGACTCCAACAAAAAAATGAGTAGACTAACAATGTCCCAGTGGGCACTCCGCTAATTGGCACCATGATTACTCTCGTTGATCGGTGTGTTTGCCGACCGGCCTTGGATACGTTAAATCTGTTCGCAGACTGGCTCATCCTCAGAGAGCCTTGATCACTCTCCCTTGGCCTCCACGTCAGGAGCCCCTTATTCTGCTTTCCCGTCTACAACTACACAATAAGAGAACTACTCTCCTCTCCCCCTGATCACGTCCAGAAGATATATGGCCCCCCTCCGCGTACTGTTTTTTAACACACAGGATTCCCGGGAAATTGGTTTTCGCTTGGGTTGTTTTGTCAAAATGTTGCTCCCGCTGCAGCGCGGGCGTTCTCGGTCCTTCCACATAGGACCCAACATCTAGAAAATGGCCCCCCGAGGAAACCATCGGAAGTGATTACACATTCGGTATCCATTCGTTGATTTTTGGGACCGCAGAAGCCCCACTTTGAAGCGTCGTCGCTTTCAGAAGTATCAAGCGGGAGCCTCGTTTCTGCTTTGAGAAGGCGAGGTTGAAAGCAGAGCCAGCGGGTGCTCTCCATCAGCCCCGCCTTGTTGTGGAGCTTGCCGGAGAGCCTAAGGAGCTAGACATGGAGCCAAACCTCCAGACAGGCCCAAACCTCTCGACACCTCTCGAAGACGATCCACTTACCCTCCATGGAACCCGGCGCCATGCCATGACATGCTGTGCGGTGTTGTGTTCTGCGCCGCTGTGCGATGCCATGCTTTGCGTCGTAATGCTTTTTGTGAGGCAATGCCTCACTGCGCAATGCCACGCCATGCCACGGCGTGCCACGCTCTGCCGTGCTCTTCTACGCCACGCCATGCCGTGCTCTACCATGCATCACGTACCCTCTCGCGATCATTGCCCTGCTCGACATCCGACTCTGCGAATATAGAAAAGATATCTGAGCCATGGTAACGGATGGGAGGAAGGCGTAGGACGTCAGACATGACGCGAGCGCACCTAGCTTACCCTCTCCCCCTCCGCCATGTCTGCTGCTCCTTCGCCTCATGTTGCTCCGCCGCATCCTCCTCCTCCTCCTCCTCCTCCTCCTCCTCCTCCTCCTCCTCCTCCTTCTCCTCCTCCTCCTCCTCCTCCTCCTCCTCCTCCTCATCCTCCTCCCTCCCATCGATCTGTCACGCCTGGCCACGCCGGAATACGCCAGGCTACGTACTCCCCTCGGCGCCAGGCAGCTCTGCTGCGCTAGAGCTGAGCTGTCCTGCTCGTCCTCCTCATCATCTCCCTCCCCCTCTCCACCTCGGGCAGGCCGGGCCCGAGAGGTCCTGCTGCGGCGCGGCAACGCAGGCCAGGATGCCCACCGACAGGTACTTCGCAACCTCGCCGCTGCGGCCCCGCGCCCCCGCGTGGGCGAAGCACACGGCGGCCACCGAGTGGGCCCGGGCGGCGAGGGGGGACCGGTCGTCGCCCCGCTCCCCGCCTGCCCAGACGCAGTCGAGGACGACGGGCCACACCCACTCGAAGTAGCGCTCCGTGTCCATGAGCTCTGGAGCGGCCGCCTGCCCCAGCAGGAAGTATCGCCAGGGAAACGCAAGACTGGGGATCGGGGGACTCGGGCTGGCACGACGGGGCTGTCACAAACAGGACAGGACGCAGGCCGACATTTGGTGCGGGCGCCCGCTGCCAACGTCCCACGAAAACTGGGCCAGCAAAATCCAAGACGCGCTCGCCAACAAGCGTCGGCAAACCCGAGTTCTGGCGTACTCGAGCCTTACGCTTCCCCGATCTAGGCGGCACGCGTGCGCCGCGCCACCCATCCTCAGGCGGGCCGCCACCAGGTGGGCGTGCGCCTCCGCGAGCGTCCACATGAGGGCCGCGACGAAGGCGGGGCCCCGCGAGGTGCCGATCTCGCAGACGCGCTTGCACACGGCCTCGTACTCCTGTGACAGCAGCGCGGTTCCCCAGGTCTGCGCGTCGCGGAACGCGTCCACGGAAGCCATTGCGCGCATGCAGCAGACCAGCGCCTGGGTGGAGAGGCGGGCCAGGTCGGCCTGGCGGGCCACGCCGCCCACGAGCATGAGCACGAGCACGCCGAGGCGGCGCAGCGCGGGATCTGGGTAGCCTCTGAGCCTGTCGAAGCCCTCGCACCACTCGGCGCAGAGCAGCTCGAGCGGGCGCAGTATCAGGGGCACCTGCGCGTCCTCGGGCACACTCGAGAGGCACGCCGCGAGGGGCTCGGCCACTAGCGGCATCAGGCCAGCCGCGGAGCGCCAATGGCGTGCGAGCAGCTCGGGAGGGCGCCCCGGCAGCGAGCCGGGAACGACCGCGGTAGTCACGGCCAGCACCAGCGCCCGCGCCAGGTCTTCCCACACCCGCAGCGGCTGGCCCCGCACAAGCACCCTGCCCGCCGCGGCCGCCACGTACCCCCGCAGGACCACGTCCTGCTCCTCCCCCTCCTCCTCCTCCTCCTCCTCCTCCCCCTCCTCCTCCTCCTCCTCCTCCTCCCCTCCTCCTCCTCCTCCTCCTCCTCCTCCCCTCCATCCTCCTCCTCCTCCTCCTCCTCCTCCTCCTCCTCCTCCTCCTCCTCCTCCTCCTCCCTCCCTCCCCCTCCTCGCCTGCTCGCACCGCGGCGGATCGCACACTCCCGAGCGCAGCCAGCGAGCGAGGCCGGCGCGCGCGGCCAGCTCGCCCCCCCCGGCGCGGCCGCCTCCAGCGCGGGCCAGGAAGAGGGCCGCGAGGCACGCCGCCGGCGTCAGGGGCGCGCCCTGGCGGGCGCCCGCTAGGCCAGAGGCAGCGGCCAGCCATGCAGGGCTGTCCGTGCGGGGTCGCGCGAGCCTCCTCTCCCACTCCTCCGCGAACAGGAGGACGTTCTCCACCAGCTCCGCGCTAGGGGCCACGTGGCTCCCCTGCACTAGCGGGAAGGCGATCTGGAGCTCCATGGAGCCCGTGGCCTCGAGGGCGACGGCCGCCAGCACGCCCTGCAGCACCGACTGGAAAAACCGGGCGGTCCAGAACTGCGCAGCCGGCGCGACGGTGCAGCTGGTCACGATGCCGACCAGGTTACGCCTGGTCTCCTCGTCGGCCACCTCGGCCAGGATCGCGCAGACCGCGAGGACGTGGCGGTTGTTGTCGATGGTCTGGTTCACCAGAGGGCTGGCTGGGCTCCAGGCCACCGCGGCCCATCGCACGCACTCTGCGGAGAATTCCGCGCAGTGGGCGGGCAGAGGCCCGCCCTGGGCCGCCTCTTGGGGCGAAACCAAAAGAGACCGACTCTGGCATGGCAGATGCGTGTCGTGACGATCCCAGCGCAAGCTTCTGACTCCGCCTGGAGCGCTCGACTTTTCGATCGCCCGACCTCTCCATCGACACGACGCGAGCCTGCCGTCTCCCCAGACCTCTCCCGTGGTGTGTTCTGACCAGAGAAGTTCGAGACGAATCCAGCCGTGGCGACCAGGGCTGGCAACGGCACCTTTCGTCGGGGTGGGAAAAATGCAGCATCGCGAAAAATCACGACCCTCGCCAGCCGTGAGTGCGCTCGCTGGGTGATTAGGCTTCGCCCGTAGCCCAGGTTGACCTCTGACGCCGCCTGCGCCTTCGCTTGCGGCTGCGACGGACAAAAAGAAAATCACGGCCAGAGCCCGGGACCTGCGGCAGCTTTCCAGCCGAATCGATCTGATGGTCCCGGGACCAGAATCTTCGGCGGCGAGCGAGGGGGGGAAGCGAGAAGGGGCGGGCCTTCTCAGAAGGCTCGAAGTCCCCAGGGACTTCTGAAAGTTTCTGAGCATTCCCCGAAGTTAGAAAAAACCTCTGAGAAGGCGCGGGGGCTTCTGAGAAGTCCCGCCGCCTTCTGAGAAGGCCTTCTCCTTCTCACTTCCCCCCCTCGCTCGCGGCTGATGACTGTCCCGGGGCCAGAGTCTGGGCGAAAACGCCCGGCGTGAAAGTTGTTGCAACGCCCGGGTCCCAGGGTTCCTCCCCCGAGCCTTGAGGAGCACCACTCCCAGCAGGCTGGAGACCCAGAAGCCCACCTGCGGGGGAGTCCGCAAAGCGTGCGCGCGCCCCGCCACGTACCCGAGCGGGACCCCCCGAGTCCGCGAGGTCAGCCTCGCGTTGCGAACGCTCGCGCAGTGCAAACTCTCGGAAAACGTGAAACAGATCTACGCTCTTCCCCGTCTCCCAACATATTTTGTTTATTATTTGTTTTCAGCGGACTATTTTGGGAGAAGAAGGAGGAGGACGAGGAAGGGGACGACCGCGACGCACCACATGGGGCTCTGGCTACTGCTTCAGAAGCCACCGACTCCTCACGCTCGCCCTCCTCCTGCCAATCGTGCGCTCCTCGTCCTTCACTCGGTCTCGCTCAGACTCAGACTTCTTCGTCAGCACTCAGACTCACTCACACTCCGACGCCTCCGATTCACGCCTCAGACCTCACTCTCCCCCTCTCCTCCTCTTCCTCATTGGGACTCACTCGTGCTCAAGCACACCTGCATTCAGACTCAGTCGTCATCAGACTCACTCGCCCTCAGAATCACGCGAGCTCAGACTCACTCACATCCTCTTCTTCCTCACTCAGACTCAGACTCAGACTCAGACTCACACTCAGACTCACTCGAGCTCAGCCTCACCCACACCCTCCTCTTCCTCACTCAGACTCACTCCGACACACTCATACTCAGCCTCACTCGCACTCAGACTCACTAATGCTCAGACTTCCTCACACTCAGTCTCAGTCACACTCAAAGTCACTGAACCTCAGACGCACTCACAATCAGCCTCACTCGCAATTGGACTTGCGACGCATTCGCCCTCGGACTCCCAGATCGCAAGGATATCTCGAGCGAGGCGTTCGTTTCAGCACCCCGAGGAGGAGCCGCCAGGGGTGGTTGCACGGCCCCGCTCGCACCCAGATTGTGGCGATGCCTCAGGAGGTTTGCCGGCTTGGTTGCCCAGACTCCTTTGCTTTCAAAGCAGATCGTGAGAATATCTCGAGCGAGGCTCTGGTTCCAGCACCCCGAGGAGAAGCCACCAGGGGTGGTTGCCCAGCCCAGGTCGCGCCCAGACTGCGGCGATGCCTCAGGCGGTTTGCCGGCTTGGTTGCCCAGACTCCTTTGCGTTCAAAGCAGATCGTGAGAATATCTCGAGCGAGGCTCTGGTTCCAGCACCCCGAGGAGAAGCCACCAGGGGTGGTTGCCCAGCCCAGGTCGCGCCCAGACTGCGGCGATGCCTCAGGCGGTTTGCCTGCCTGGCTGCCCAGGATCCCCTGCTTTCAGAGCAGATCGGGGGGAAGTCTCGAGCGAGGCGCTGGTTCCAGCACCCCGCGGGGGAGCCGCCAGAGGTGGTTGCACGACCCTGGTCGCGCCCATATCGTGGGAAGGGACGCCTCAGGCGGTTGGCCTGCTTGCTGGCCCAGACCCCCCTACGTTCCGAGCAGATCTTTAGGATTTATCGAGCAAGGCGCTGGTTACGGCATCCGGGAGCTGCCAGGGGTGGCTGCCCGGCCCCGTTCGCACCCAGCTTGTGGGGAAGTCTCTGGCGGTTTGCCTGCTTCGACGCCTTCTAGCTCCTCTGCTTCCAGAGCCGATCGTGAGGATGTCTCGAGCGAGGCGCTGCTTCCGGGAACCCCATGGGAGAGCCGCCGGGAGTGGTTGCACGGCCCCGCTCGCGCCCAGAGCGTGGGGTGTCCGAGGCGGTCTGCCTGCTCGGTTGCCCAGATCCTCTGCTCTCAGAGCAAGTCGTAAGAATTTCTCGAGCGAGGCGCTCGCTGCAGCAACCGGGAGCCGCCAGGAGTGCTTCGCTGTCAGCTTTTTCCCCACATGTTTCGTGGGGTTCTGGTTTTCTTCCCTGCCGCGCCGCACCCGCGTCTCACACCTCCCCCCTCCCCTTCTCCTTCTCGCACAGCACAGCACAGCACGGCACGGCACGGCACGGCACGGCACAGCACAGCTCACCGCACAGCAGCACAGCACAGCACAGCACAGCACAGCATACCACACAGGGCATTCCTTCGACGCCACAGGGGGTGGGGGTGCGCAGAGGGTAATCCCTCAGCGCGGCCTCTATCCGTGACACGCTCGCAGATCGTGACAGGCATGACACTTTCTCGACACCACAGGGGGTGCGCAGAGGGTGTTCCCTCAGCGCTGCCTCTATCCGTGACACGCTCGCAGATCGTGGCAGGAGTGGCACTTTCTCGACACCACAGGGGGTGCGCAGAGGGTGGTCCCTCAGCGCGGCCTATATCCGTGACGCGCTCGCAGATCGTGGCAGGAGTGGCACTTTCTCGACACACAGGGGGTGCGCAGAGGGTGGTCCCTCAGCGCGGCCTCTATCCGTGACACGCTCGCAGATCGTGGCAGGAGTGGCACCTTCTCGACGCCACAGGGGGTGCGCAGAGGGTGGTCCCTCAGCGCGGCCTCTATCCGTGACACGCTCGCAGATCGTGGCAGGAGTGGCACTTTCTCGACACCGCAGGGGGTGTGCAGAGGGTGGTCCCTCAGCGCGGCCTCGCCTCTATCCG